TACGTACTTACTTCTCTCTCTCTCTCTCTCTCTCTCTCTCTCTCTCTCTCTCTCTCTCTTTCTTGAAATCCGCTTCCACAAAAGGAGCGTACTTCAATGCTGTTCGAAGCGACAAATCCGACGGCGCTTACGAGTAATTTTCCCAATGTGATGCTCCCGGGTTGAACGAAACGTCGGTGTTTGTTCCGCTAATCGCGAAAGAAGGAACTCCGGTTCTTACCGCTCTGTTCGCGGTCTCCACGTGTTGTATCGTCAGCGGTGATATCGATCACTCGTCCCGTGCCCTATCGCACCATCGGTTCCTCTATTCATGTGAATTTCGCGGAACTAATGATCCATACGTTCCCCTCCCTCGCAGCAACGAACAAAGTTCGAACCGAAGCCACTGCCGCGTTGTATTATCATCACGTCTCCACACACTGCCATAGACATAGAACTTCATACGTAGTTCCTCATCCCGGTTGTTCCCGTATGATCGCTCAGAGAAGATTTGTAGATTCGCGACGATCGAATTATATCCATTGCTGATGTACGGCTGGCGAAACGGCTCTTTTCCTTTCTAGCGGTAGCAAGACATTTTACGGAGTACGTAAGTAGCTTTAATGATATACAGTTAGCAAATTGTATTTCTATCATTCCGTTTCTTTAACTTCGAATATTACTCCGCTTATAATTATCGATAATAAAAACCAAAGAAGCTGGAAAATAAAGTAGATTGAAGGAAGTTTGTAGATTTAGTTTCAGTTAATTGCAATTACTTCACAATAAGATAATCAGTAATTCAATTATTTATATTATATCATATTCATATCGTATATTTTGCGACTATAATTTATTATTATTATATTAGGGGGCGGTGTTGCTACCTCTAGAAAATCGCGACGATGTGGCGTGCGCTTTTCTTTTCCCCGCGCTCCGTACAGACGCAAATCAGCGAAACGATTGTTGTAGATTCTAACTTTGAAATATAGTTCTTAGTGGTTGCTCAAAGTTATCCTGCTTCGTGAACTCTCGCGGGAAAAACTCTCGTCGCGAGGTAGAATTAAATTGACTTAAAATACAAGAGAAAAACGGCGAGAACGGCAGGAATCGATAGCACATCAGAAACTGTGACTTCTGACGGGTCGTGACACGCCTTGTCGATTTAACATCTTGAGATTCGGCGATCAAATCGAATGCGATACATCGTATCCATCGTGAGGTGTAATTACTTTCGCGTCTCCGCATCGCTGGGAAACAAAAAGAGAAATTGAGAAAAGAAACAACAACCAAAAAAAAAAAAGAAAAAAGAAAAAAGAAAAGAAACTACGATTCGCCGACTCGCAAGATGTCTGAACTCCATGACACCGAATGAGCGTGCCTACTAAATATGCAGCTATTATGATGCATGTGATCATCGACAGTGCAAACAGTTTGTACATAATAAGGCAAAAAAGGAGAGGGAGGTTTATAAAACCAATCGCTTTTTAGAAAATAACCGGTGCGCTAGAATAAAGAGAAGAGAAGTAAATTAAACAAATAAATAAATAAAAGGTAAATAAAAATCGTCGGCGCGACCTCGCCCGGCTGTCGCGGCGATATAAGGGATCTTGTTAATCCGATATACGTTGGTTGGCCCTTCTCCAGGAGGGCCATTATAATTAGAGCAAGAAACAGACTCGGAAACTTGGCCCGCCGCCCCCGGGGCTGCTGCGCTCTAGGATCGTGTTTGTTTGTATATAGGGAAGCATTTATGTAGGTTTAGCGACAATCTCAATAGTGGATACACACACGTACACGCGTTCATACACAAACATACACACACACACACGCGCGCGCGCGCGCGCGCGCGTGCCCAAACAGGGAGTCAAACAACACGCACACGACCGAGCAACGGTATTAAGCGCGCGCATTATCTACTAATACGCAGCTATCTTTAATCGACGGTATAACGATTATCTTACTACGACATGTAATTGCGATAATAACAATTATCATGATTACTATATTTTTTACTAATAAAGAGTATCCTTGGAATCGAGGAAAAAAAAGGGATGGCTCTCTTTCTTTCGGACGAACCCCTCCGACAAATTTCAGAGCGGCCGAGCAGCGGCTTCCCGGCGACTCGGCGCAGCGAAATTGAAAAACCGTTGCCGAGAAATGAAAATTACAGAAGACAACACTCCGTTCAAGATTTACGAGTTTCTACTTGGCGCTTAAGCGCGAACTAATTAAGGCGAATGCAGTTTCGGACATGGCCGATGATATACCACGACGATAATTCTCGTCGCCCGTCGTTTTAGTGTCATCGGCAATTCCGGCACTTGTAACTCAATCTTCGACTTTATTTGCGCTAAATTCTGATGCGACTAATCCGATTTATTTCGCTTGCACCCTCATCGTTTTTTCTCGCACATCAATTTACGTCAGTTGTACGAGTGACGGCGAATCTGTTGAAAAATATTTTCGCGATAAATTCCTCGACGCTGCGAACATTCTCTTTTCACAATGCGCATCGGAATTTTCTCTATTGTGCTTTGTTTCCGTGCGAGATATGCCGGGAGACAAAAGAACACGCGATAACCATGCTGGACCTTTTCGCACCTATTAAATGCCTTCTGCAGGAAGAGTCTGTCCGTGTCGACAATGTGATCTTCAGGCTGCACTCGCGCGTCACCGTTCTTCTGCTGCTCGTTTGCACCATCCTCGTAACTGCCAAGCAGTATATCGGCGAGCCGATCTCTTGCATGACCGACAGTTCCATCGGTACAAATTCTACTAACCTTTAGCTTCAACAGTTGAAATTATAAGAATTAAATAGTGAAAAAAAACATGTGTATTGCAATGTAGCAATAGACTGCGGAATATTTTTTTTACATACATTCTGCAGAGTTCATTAGCTTTTAATTATCTTTCATCGACAACAGGCATTACGCAATTGATATCTTTCTGGCAGACAGAGAATCTGTAAATGCGTATTGCTGGATCTACAGCACGTTCACGGTGTCGCGACACCTGAAGGGAATCCCCGGACGAGGTGTAGCGAGTGCCGGCGTGGGACAGGCCCTTCCGGATGATGAAGCCCGTCATCATCGATATTATCAGTGGGTCAGCTGAATTTAGAACGTTTACGATATGGATGAAGAGATAACCGATACGGACAGATAACCGATAAATAGGCGTATTGATGAGAGACAGATTGAAAGTCCGATATATCTGTATTTTGACGATTTATCAGTATTAGCGTCGTCATATATTTGTCTCGATTTCAACGTCCGTTTTCTTGACGAAATTTTTCCACTTACATCCCTTCAGAGACCTCAAATAAAATTTTTCAGATCAGACTATTCCGAACTTAACCGCAATTTCTTTATCTACTTATGTTCTCCGAACGGATCTTTATATGTGTTCCGTATAAAATATCTTTGTAAGACTCTTATTTCAGCTAGACTTCTCGGGAAAATTTTTGCCAAGAAAAGACCGACTCGAAATTCGTCAAAGACACTCTTAAATTGTTTTTCGATGGGGCACTCTGAAAAATTGAACAAGCGAGGAGAAATGCGGGGGGGGGGACGCATACGCGCGCGCGTGCGGCCGAATTGGTCGATCGAATCGGTTTCCGTATCGAATGCACACAACGACGAACGCGCGTTCGACACACCGACGGGTACGCGAGATGCATGATAACGACTGCACTTCGTTCCGATGGTCAGGGCGCTCCCGGCTCTCGGCGCATGTAGACGTATTGCGCGAGCGTGAATGAAATCTGGAACGCGAACGCGTGAATGCGAAGGAAACGTCCGGACGACGGAAGGCAGCGCGAGGAAATGGAAATAGAGATCGCAGATCTACCGTTATCCACGTCGCTCTCTGTATCGCGCGATTTGCATCGTGAATAACGTGAAAAAGAGTCAAGCGGGGTTTTCCGAAATATCTCGATCTACAAAATGGGAAAATATTAAATCAGATATAAATATTTTCATCTCTGCGCTTTTCGCAAAAAATGAAACAGCCTCAACAAAATTCGCCCCTATATATATTTTTTTTAAAATATTTTACTATTAATTTGTATACATTAAATTTTTATAAAAATATTCGCGCTTTTATGCCTCTGCTGAAAGTTTGCCTCTGTTCGGGCAGAGCTGGCGGCAGGCAGAAAGATAAAGTGTAATTTAGAGAAAAGTTGCAAGAGATAAGAATTCGACGTTCGACAGGTCTGCTTCGTCCTCGGCTTACAAGCGATCCTTTTTTATGTGCCGCGCGCGTTATGGGGCATCTGGGAGAAAGGCACCATAGGCCTTCTTTCGCGGGATCTCGAGTCTCCTTTCCTGAGGGACGTCTGGACCGCGGAGAGGAAGCAGCAGCTCGCCGCGTATTTCACCCGGACGAACCTGCACAGTCACAATTTCTACGCTACGCGCTTCTTCGTCTGCGAGCTCTTGAATTTCTTGAATTCGGTAGGCAACAATTCCCTTCGTACTTCGAAAATGAACGGTCTGCGAAGGTGCTTAAGGGCTCTCGATCAGCTAAGCGGGATTGTGACGTCAGAAGCGAGGAAATTGCGCGGAAATAAACGTGAATAATTAATTCCGGGGTTCAATAAACTCAGGCTTACAAAATGCGGTCGGAACTTCGTTGCGAGCCCGACGCGCGAAAATATACATTTCGAAAATAGCATACTTATAAAACGCCACTTTGTCGTAAATTTTCTTCATCATTCTATAAAAGTAGAAGTATCGACAATTTTGTACCTTGTTATCTTAACGTATTTACCGACTCGAATAAAAGATTATTTTTTTAAGTACTGTAAAATATGAAAAATTTCAATTACTGAAAAGCATCTCTCGATGAAACTTTTCCTTGCTAGATAGGACAGATATATCTGCTGGACATATTTCTGGAGGGGCAGTTTAGGCGATACGGGCCCTTGGTGAGCGTGTTTATCGCGGGAGAAAATCCTCGCGAAAGGGTCGACCCTATGGCGCGATTGTTCCCAAAAGTGACGAAGTGTACGATTCACAACTTCGGGCCGGCGGGCACCGTGCAGATTCACGACGCGCTGTGCGTGCTGCCGTTGAACGTGGTGAACGAGAAGATATTTGTCGTTCTCTGGTTCTGGCTGGTATTCCTCGCGGGCGTCGGTTGCCTGGCGATAATCTATAGGTATGTAAGTCCGGCCGGCATCGGCGCGTTCGGAACTTATGGCGCGGGCGATAATAGGGATGCCACTCATAGCGGATTACAATGTCCGAAGAGACAAAGAAAATCCAACTATCTCGAAAAGTTATCATTATTTTACATGCGCGTTTAGACTCGAGATTTTTTCATGTCGCGAATCTCTCGCGACGTCATAAACGCGAGATTCCTTGCGTTGTATTTTTGGAAAAGTGTATTTTTAATTGTGAACTGAATCCATAAATCACGTTTTTTTTTTGCACAACAGAAATCTGCTCGTAGCTTTTACAGGATCAATACGTCGCTCACTGACTATGCTTTTGTATTTTGTAGGATTGTAGTTTTTTCTCAACGTTGGGCGAGAGTGTATCTTCTGCGTGGCGCAGTTCGCGTGCTCGAGAGATCTAAAGCCGAGCGTGTCGTACGAGTATTCCACTTCGGCGATTGGTTCCTGTTGCACCAACTCGCGCAGAATGTCAATCCTATCGTGTACAGAGAGCTGGTTAATGAGATAGCGGAAGCCTTCGCGACCAAGAGTTTCCCAGACTTCGTCTAGATCCCCTCGATCTCGCTTAAGTAGTATTACACGAATTCAATTTACGAAACTCGAAATGCATTCCACATAGAAATTGTATAAACATCCTCAATGGACACTTTCGAGTCAAATGTTTCGCAATAAAATAACGAGGAATATTTAAGAAAGATATGTAATCGTTGATTTTAAATAAAGACGATAAAAAATTCCAAGAACAAGTTTCAGAGTTATTAAAGCGCTTTGAATATTCAAATCCCACATTCATGCAGAGATTAATGTCTCTTCTCGACACCCTGTACATTGGCAAACACAAGGAGTATAATACAAGGAGCGGATATGCCGGTGTGAATCTTTTGTTCCATCAGCTGCGCATTCAATTGTTTCGAAACAGAAGCGGAACCGAGATCGCGCTCCTCTCATCTCGACTCGTATCCATGGGAACGCGAGTTCGACTCAGCCAAATTACATGAGTTACGGTTCTTAGGGTTAGGGATTTTGTCGGAATTCCAACGCGTTTCGTCGCGTCGAAGATCCTTCCGCGCTCTTCGTCTACCAATGCGTCGCCGCGCTACGAAATACGCGCGCATCCGGCTCTCGCATTTCCACGGTAACGAAAACAGACGACGACTGGTTTTGAGTTCGGCGTCTCGCTGCAATTCCGAGTTCGCATATCGCAGCGGAAAGGAGATTTTGTGAAGCCAAAGTTAAAGCAGCGATCATGCGCGAGATAGTACATCTACAGGCCGGCCAGTGCGGCAACCAGATCGGAGCCAAGGTACATTCCGATCCTTTGAATTAATCGTCCCGGATAAAAAGGATCGCGCGGTCCGAGATATAAATGCCAGCCGCGGGTCCGCAAATAAATACGTTCCGCCTAATCGATTTAACGAGCAACGGCGATTAGAATCTAATTTCGATCAATTCAGATTTCTATTTTCTAAAAAGCGCGAGCATGAGTTTTTTTTGCCTATTCGACGATGCTGGAAATCGGAACACGCGGCATTTTTATAGCGTAATTTTCTCTGTTTTTCGTATCGAAAATCGAAATCCGCGAAAAATTCGGGACGGAATATTGTGTTCTCTCATTGACGGTTACAGTTTTGGGAGGTGATTTCGGATGAGCACGGGATCGATCCAACGGGCACGTATCATGGCGACTCGGATCTGCAGCTGGAGCGAATAAACGTCTATTACAACGAGGCGACGGGCGGCAAGTATGTGCCGCGTGCGATCTTGGTGGATTTGGAGCCCGGTACGATGGACGCGGTCCGCGCGGGGCCTTTCGGCCAGATATTTCGACCGGACAATTTCGTGTTCGGCCAGAGCGGCGCCGGCAACAACTGGGCCAAGGGCCATTATACCGAGGGCGCGGAGCTCGTCGATTCCGTCCTGGATGTTGTGCGTAAGGAGGCCGAGAGCTGCGACTGTCTCCAGGGATTCCAGCTGACGCACTCGCTGGGCGGCGGCACCGGCGCCGGCATGGGCACTCTGCTCATCTCGAAGATCCGCGAGGAGTATCCCGACAGGATCATGATGACCTTCAGCGTGGTACCCTCGCCGAAAGTAATTTCAATTTCAATTTTTTGAATCTCGCTTTAATTAAAATCTCGAAGGATCCAGACTTTGCTTTCGCGGATTAAGCGCTCTTCTAAAGTTCTTTCGAAAGTACGTTCTACATGTTTTCCTATAAAATCTCGAATGGCTTTCGAGAATAATGCCAGATCAGATTTTGCGGCGAAAGTTTACGCCCCGAATTTCCGCGTATCGAGAATCGCCGGGGGCTGTATTTCTCGGCGGTGCGGCGCAAAAGTCTTCCCGATGCGCGCGGGATAAAATACAATGGATGCGAAACAAAGCGCCAACCAGAAACCACCTTTTGTCCTTAATAGGACAATACCGCGCGCGCCGCACGTTGCGGCTTGCGTACAATGCGTATACTCGGCGTGTATACACGGGCTCGATACGCATATACAGGCGGCGCCGACGTACCGTGTGTTTCCGCGTTATCGTCTATTCTTGCTTGCCTCCGAAGGTATCGGACACCGTGGTGGAGCCTTACAACTGCACGCTCTCGGTGCACCAGCTGGTGGAGAATACGGATGAGTCCTACTGCATAGACAACGAGGCGCTCTACGATATCTGCTTCCGGACCCTCAAGCTGACCACACCGACCTACGGCGACCTCAATCATTTGGTCAGCGCGACCCTGAGTGGCGTCACCACTTGCCTGAGATTCCCAGGCCAGCTTAACGCTGACCTGAGAAAGCTCGCCGTCAACATGGTCCCCTTCCCGCGACTGCACTTCTTCATCCCCGGCTTCGCCCCGCTGACTTCCAGGTTTTAAATTTCCTCCGGGGAACTAATTATGTTAAATAGAATATCGGTGTTTTTTAAGCAAGTCGATATCGAATGTCGGCACGTACCGACCGCTATTTTACCTTCCTAATTAACAAAAATTGACGCAATTAATTAATTAACTGAAGAGGAATTATTCGTGTGTATGACCTTCTATCTATATTATCAAATTATATGCCGGACACTATTACATTTTGAAATAACGCTCGCAGGGGCTCGCAGCAATATCGGGCGCTCACGGTGCCGGAGCTCACTCAGCAAATGTTCGACGCGAAGAACATGATGGCCGCGTGCGATCCGCGACACGGCAAGTATCTAACGGTGGCCGCGGTCTTCCGCGGCAGGATGTCGATGAAGGAGGTGGACGAGCAGATGCTCAACATCCAGAATAAGAATAGCAGCTACTTCGTCGAGTGGATACCGAGCAATGTGAAGACCGCCGTTTGCGACATACCTCCGCGCGGCCTGAAAATGTCCGCGACTTTCATCGGCAATTCCACGGCTATTCAGGTAAGTCGATTTATCGGTATCCGTAAAACACGACGAGAATTCAATCAATTTATCACTCGCAAAACTCAATCACCAAACAAAATTTCATTCCGACTTTCAACTTTATCGATCAACTTTCGCAAATATTTGTAATTTCCTAAACGGATAAGGTGGGATTTTCTCTGGCGCAATTTATAGACCAAGTTTTCTAAAAAATCCAGCTTTATCATTCGATTCGCGTTTTGTAAACCGTTTTTTAAGGCGCAGATTTAGTTAAACCGAAAATTGGATGCTATTACAGGAATTGTTCAAGAGAGTGTCGGAACAATTCACCGCAATGTTCCGACGCAAGGCTTTTCTCCACTGGTACACCGGCGAAGGTATGGACGATATGGAGTTCACCGAGGCCGAGAGCAATATGAACGATCTCGTGTCCGAGTACCAGCAGTATCAAGAAGCGATCGCCGAGGAGGAGGGCGAGTTCGACGAGGAGGAGGAGGGCGAGGGCGAGGACAAGTGAGATCGTCCCATCTTCGGAGGATGTTTATCGAGTGTTCATACACCTGCCGCTTCCTTTCTGCTCCTCGCCCTCTTTTTATATAGTTATATCGTCGCCGTACCCTGTTAGAGTGTAAAATAATATGTAGCTGAGGCAACGGCGGCCGACACCTTGTTCCTTGTCTTCCGCGTGTCCTATCGTCGAAAGTGCATAAAATAAAAAAAGGAAAAAAAAGTAGGAAAGGTTCTCCTCCATTTTCTCGAGAGAAGTAAGGAGTTCATTTCTCTTGCATCCTCTTAACCGCGCGTCGTACAACACCGACGAAACGAAACACTCTCAAGCGCTAGCTCGCGCGCGCGCGTTCTGGGGTTTGCGCTTGGTTTCCGGGTAACCTCTGGTCGCTACGGAGATAATGCGAAATGTACGTATCGGGGAAACGTTTCCTGCTTGCTTTCCTTCAAGTAGAACACGGCGCGCAAGCACCGGCGGCGTTTGCTTACCCTCAGTTGCGTGCTTAAGACAGACTTTCATCTTAATTTAATTTGAAGCAGCGCACCTCTTATTTTCTCACCGTGTTTTTTCGCATTTACAAAATAATCCGGATATGCGCGCGACAAGCCGCGTATTGATATATTTCACAGCTAATTTTAGCTATCTACTCACGCTTAATTTCGCGATTAAGCGTTATTTATTTCGTCCACGCGCGTATACGAAATGGCGCGCGACGGCCCGTTTAGCCAGCTAAAAATCACTCAGCGATTTATTTTGGGAACTCCATTCTCCACGCTCGGGAGCAATTCTTTTACAATCCCGACGCCGCGATAACGCGCCATAATAAATCGCGCGGCGCTCGCGTATCGGAGGCTCGTACATCACGCCGGCATCACCGTAGCCGACGTCGTGCAACCGGCCGTATCTTCGCGCTCGGCCCTCGAGATCGACAACGTTATTGGCAATAATAATTGCACAATTGCGCGTGTAAGTGGCAGCCCGAGCGAGGACTTGGCGTTAAGCTGTGACGTCACGCATCCCTGAGCGTTCCGCGAAAAATGAGGCGTGATGCTTACGCTCGGACGCTCATCGCACAACGGCGGGCACGCATCCGTGAAGAGTGCACTGTCCTCGATCAATTTCGCGCGAAGAAATCCGTAAATTCCAAGGCGGATGTGAGATTTGAAGACTTATTTTTAAATTGCCCGAAATCCATATAAACATCGCGATTATCGGATTCGCGGGGCTTTCCATATAATTTTATGGCACGCAATCCTTATTTCTCAAGAATATAAATTCAAAGCCGTTTGGAAATAAATTCTCTTCTCATTCTCCGTTCACACACCTACCTATCCGCCGTGAGGGCGTTTACGTAACCGTGACGGAAGTGCGCGCGAGAATGGGCGGGGAAGTCGGTTGCACTCCGCCATGCAACCTGTGGTCCACTACGGAATGCTAATGCTAATAATGCAGACGCATAAACTCGGGATTTAGATCACGGCGTTCCAGTTTCCGTTGCCACGTGTCTCCCCGCCTCCGCCCCTCGCCGCGGTCACCCACGATTTTGCGTCTTCGCCTCGGTCTTCGCTAATGACCTCCGCTGCAAACGACCTTACATAATTGCGCAGGAAAAGAGAGGGGAAAAAAAAAAACTAGTCCGATGCTTACATGGGCTCCGACGATTTAGCGGAAGAGAAATACGCTTACGGATGTTTGTCGCCGCTTATCACCGCCATCGGCGGAATAAGGAAAAAAAACTTGTTCAACAGCGCGAAGTTGACATTGTCCGATAAATAAAATAGAACGTGCGATAAATAAAAAATGCCATGCATCACACGTGAAATGCGAGCGGGTTCCACGGGTTAACGGACTTAATCCCTTTCGGCTTGTGTACGCGCATACCTTCGCCGCTTGCATTGTGCATCGTCACTCGACTGTGCATCGCTCTTTCTCTCCGGCCGTCTTTTAAAAATCGATCGCCCGCGGGCCCGCCGGCAGGAGACAGCG